ACTGGCTTGATGGCTGTGGACTAAGCTGTATTTCTTTTCAAGGTGAGAGGAAGGAAGGACAATGATCAAACCCCAGAAAGTTTCCTTCTTCTTGGCCTGGCCCTGGTGGCATTTACATAACTAGCTTTGTCTCTGGGGTAATCTCACAAAACTACTTTCCAAAGTGCTTTGCAGAGCAGGAAACATAAATATTAACTTCAAGGTTGGAAAGCGCTGCTTTTTAATAAAAAGAGAATTTAATGAGATGCAGAAAGATGAACTTAGCTCCTCCGTCAATGCCACCTTTGCTTCTTGATATGCTGCCCACATATGCCCCGTGCCAGGGCCGTGCATACATTTTAAATTTGGAGAATAATTATGAAAATCAGATTACATACAGCTGCCCCTGTTAAAGAAAACCGTTTGGTTTGCTTTTGAACCGTGGCTTCCAAAGAGGCCAGTTCCGTATACCCTTAATTAAGGACAAGGAGCCAACGTTTCCTGAGGTCGTGCCGTATGCGCCGTGTGCCCCCGACTGGGCCCCACACTGTGTGGTCTCGGTCAACCTCCGTTACCCACACACTTGCCATGGAGTACCTGGGCCGGCAGAAGGAGGGACTGGAGTCCAATGTATCTGAACAAACAGAAATGCTGTTTCTCTGCGTATAGTATCCAAACACACAACCTTCGAACAATACAGGTTGGAATTGTGTGGGTCCACCTACATGTGAATCTTTTTCTTTTCTTTTCTTTTTAAAATAGAAATGGGGGTCTTGCTATGTTGCCCAGGTTGGTCTTGAACTTCCGGCCTGAAGCTATCCACCCACATCGGCCTCCCAGAGTGCTGGGAGAATCTTTTTCAATAGAAGTTACTCCAAGCCGGGTGTGGTGGCTCACACCTGTAATCCCAGCACGTTCGGAGGCTGAGGCAGACAGATTGAGGCCAGGAGTTCGAGATCAGCCTGGCCAACATGACGCAAAACCCTATCTCTACTGCAAATACAAAAAAAATTGCCAGGCATGGTGGTGCATGCCTGTAATCCCAGCTACTCAGGAGGCTGAGGCAGGAGAATTGCTTGAGCCCGGGAGGTGGAGGTTGCAGCCAGCCGAAATCACACCACTGCACTCCAGCCTGGGTGACAGAGTGAGGCTCCGTCTCAAAAAAAACGTTACACCTAGCATGTCTGCCTCTCCTGCCTCCCCTGCCACCTCCCGTATCTCTTCCACCTCTGCTGCCCTTGAGATAGCAGGACCGACCCCTCCTGTTCCTCCTGCCTCAGCCTCCCCAGTAGCTGAGACTACAGACGTGCACCACCAGGCGGGGCTCATTTTTGTATTTTTAGTAGTGACGGGGTTTCACCCAGTTGGCCAGGCTGGTCTTAAACTCCTGATCTCAACCAATGTACCCGCCTTGGCCTCCCAAAGTGTTGGGATTACAGGCGTGAGCCCTGCACCCAGCCTCTCTTTTGGGTTCTTATGGAGCTTTCATTGGCTAAGCACGATCGAAGCCAGACAACCGTGTTGAGGTGTCCCTGGAAAAAATCAGAATGACCCAACGCCCTCAGTCGGAGTGGGGAAGCCCGCACGCCTGTCTGTACAGATTTCCTTCCTCCTGGCAGGGGGCACGACTCCTTCTGAAATGGGGACCTCGTGACCCACAGTCAGACGAGGCAGGTCTGAGAATGTCTCTGTGGCCAGGTCCGAGGCGGAACGGTGGCGGAAGTTTAGAGTATATTTTCATTTTCTATGGCCTGCCCTGGGGAGAAAAACGAGCAGGTGAAAGGGGGAAATAGGAAGGTCAGAAAGAGGGAGAGAGGCTACATGCGAGGCCCCGACATTGTAACACAGGACCGCCTTTCCCCTGAGCTGTTTCCACACTGCTCAGGAACCAAGGAAGAATGGCTAAATACTCTAACAAAAGATATGCTTATTGTTTACTCACTGAGGAAGTAACGAGGGTCATGGGAATTATGAGCCAGGCATGGTGGAGGAAAACCAATATATAAATATCGTCATCTCGCAAGGGGCTTCGCAGATGATCAGGTGAGGTCACCAGGGTGGGCTCTAATTCAACATGACTGTTCTTGTAAAGTCTAGACACACACACACACACACACCCTCAGCAGAGACGGAGGAGCACTGAAGATTGCCGGCAAACCCCAGTAGCCCAGAGAGAGGCAGGGAACGGATTTGCTCTTGCAGCCTCCAAACAGAAATGAACCTGGCCTATGCCTGGATTTGGACTTCTGGCCTCCTGACGCAATCCTAATCCCTGTACACGGGGCTATTACAAGGACGCAGCCATCGTGGATTGGAGCCCACTGCGGTGACTTCATCTTAACCTGATCATCTGCAAAGACCCTGGTGAGACATGATATTTGTGAATTGGTTTTCCTCCTCCACTGTGCCTGGCTCATAATTCCCATCACCCTCGTGATTTCTCTCCAAACTGTGAGAAGATGTTTTTGTTGTTCTGAGCCCTCTAGCTTGTAGAACTGTCTGCTGGCAGCCCCAGGTCACCCCAGTGTCCTCTCTCTGTCCCTTCTGCCTGGTGTGTCTTCTCTTCCTTTACTGAAAGGAAAAGGTTGTTTGATCCTTGTCCCAGGTCAGATGTCCCTCCCCTGCAAGCACCCTCTGCCCGCGGCCCCTCTCCCCCAACCCCATCCACACCGTCCCTGTCCCTCCCCCCACGCCGGCCACTGTGTCCTGTGCCCACTCTCCTGGACCACAAACTCCTGGAAGACAAAGCTCTGTGTCCCTGGGCTGTACACCTCTGGCTGGGGACGAGGTCTGGCACCAACTCGGCCCACAGAAGCATTTACTGCATTTCGGGGAAGGGGGGCCAGGCCGGCACAAAGGGAGACAGAAAAATGGTCTCAACCCACACACCCAACGCTGAACCAGAGGCTCCGCTTCACGCTGCGTCCTCTGCTGGCCCCTGTCTCTGCTGAGTGACCCACAAGGGTCCCAGCAGGACACCCACCCCTCATTCTGCCTACTTTTTTTTTTTTTTTTTTTTTTGAGACAGAGTCTTGCTCTGTTGCCCACACTGGAGTGCAGTGGCGTGACCTCTGCTCACTGCAACCTCCGCCTCTCGACATGGTTTCACCATGTTGGCCTGGCTGGTCTCAAAGTCCTGACCTTGTGATCCGTCCACCTCAGCCTCCCCAAGTGCTGGGATGACAGGCATGAGCCACTACCGCCGATCTCTCCACTGATATTTACTGTATTAGACATAAAAAACAAAATTTAAGGCCGGGCGCGGTGGCTCAAGCTTGTAATCCCAGCACTTTGGGAGGCCGAGGCGGGTGGATCACGAGGTCGAGAGATCGAGACCATCCTGGTCAACATGGTGAAACCCCGTCTCTACTAAAAATACAAAAAATCAGCTGGGCATGGTGGTGCGTGTCTGTAATCCCAGCTACTCAGGAGGCTGAGGCAGGAGAATTGCCTGAACCCAGGAGGCGGAGGTTGCGGTGAGCCGGGATCGCGCCATTGCACTCCAGCCTGGGTAACAAGAGGGAAACTCTGTCTCAAAAAAAAAAAAAAAAAAAATTTAAAGTTGTATTTATTTAGAAGGAATAGTACATTCATTATATATTAACAAATTTTGTGGGTTTTTTTTTATGAAACAAGGTCTTGCCCTGATGCCCAGGTTGGAGTGCAGTGGCGCCATCTTAGTTCACTGCAAACCTTTGACCTCCTGGCTGAGACTACAGGTGTGCACCACCACGCCCAGCTATGTTTTTTTATTTGTTGAGATAGGGTCTCGCTATGTTGCTGAGGCTGGTCTCAAACCCCTGTACTGAAGCAGTGATCCTCTGCTTCGGCCTCCCAGAGTGCTGGGCTTCCAGGTGTGAGCCACCGTGCCTGGCCCATGGTAATTTCTTTTTTTTTTTTTTTGAGATGGAATTTTGGTTTTATTGCCCAGGCTGGAGTGCCATGGTGAGATCTTGGCTCATCGCAACCTCCGCCTCCCAGGTTCAAGTGATTCTCCTGCCTCAGCCTCCCGAGTAGCTGGGATTACAGGCATGTGCCACCATGTCCAGCTAATTTTTGTATTTTTAGTAGAGACAGGGTTTCTCCATGTTGGCCAGTCTGCTCTCAAACTCTCGAACTCAGGTAAACCACCTGCCTCGACCTCCCAAAGTGCAGGGATTACCGGCATGGGCCACCACCCCCATCTCCAGTAATTTTTTATTGTGGCAAAATATAGATAACATACAATTTATCACACACACACACAGAGACACACACACACATATATAGAGAGAGAGCTAATTTTTGTATTTTTAGTAGAGACGGAGTTTCACCATGTTAGCCAGGCTGGTCTCGATCTCCTGAGCTCAGGTGATCCACCTGCCTCGGCCTCCCGAAGTGCTGGGATCACAGGTGTGAGCCACTGCGCCCTGCCTGTTCCTCCTGCTTCTTCAAGGCTGGGGCTTCTTCTGGCCATGAGCATCTCAGGTCCCCCTGCCTGTGCAGCCGTCAGCCAGAGGCAACGCATGTGACATCACAGCTCAAAGCCCTGCCTGGATACCTAGGCTGGGCGCGGTGGCTCACGCCTGTCATCCCAGCACTTTGGGAGGCCAAGGCGGGTGGATCACCTGAGGTCAGGAGTTCGAGACCAGCCCAGCCAACATGGAGAAACCGCATCTCTACTGAAAACACAATTACCCGGGCATGGTGTGGCGCAGGGAACCCTGCCCTCTCCCCCTCGGGGTGCAGCCTTTCCTCTGCTTCCAACACCTGCGAGGCCTGCCTCCCCCACCTCCCCGCCCCGGCACCCCACAGCGTCCCCGGGGCTGCTCTTCCGCGGACCTCGTGGAACCTGCCTGCAGGCCATTTCCTGGGGCCTCCCCGTCGCCTCATCCAGAAACAACCCCGGCGCTGCTCCTGAGGTCAGGCCAGTGACCCGCCCCGGCAGCGCCCTCCCTCCTCCCGGCCCCGCCGCCCCGGCCCCGCCGCCCCGGCCCGGCTCGCGGCAGCCGCTCAGCCACAGACCAGCCGCGTTCCTGGGACTCGGTTCTCTGTGGCTTCCAGGACGTCCTGAGGCCGCACCCACGTGGCGCCGGTGCCTGCCGCGCCGCCCCCCGGAGCCCACACCGCCAGCGGGGCCTCGGGCTCCAACCCGGGACCAGGCCGCGCCGCGCCCCTTCTGCGCGCGTGAGCGGCGGCGCGGGACCGGCAGGCCTCGGGCGTCCGGGCCGGGGGCGGGGGCGCGGGGGGGGCCGGCGGCGGGGCCGCGCCCTCGGCCACTCCCCGGGGCCCCCGGGCGGCTCCACACGCGCGGCCCCGTCGTCCGCGCCGCGGCCCCGCAGGATGAAGAAGGACGAGTCGTTCCTGGGCAAGCTGGGCGGCTCCCTGGCCAGGAAGCGGCGGGCGCGCGAGGGTGAGTGCGCGCCGCGCCCGCCGACCCCGGGGACCTGCCCGGCCGCGCCCCCCCGCGCCCCCCGCGCCCCCCGCCGCGCCGCGACCTTCGGGACGGGCCAGGCCTCCGCCCCGGGACCCGTGAGCCGCGGCCGGGCCTCCGGCGTCTGCCGATCGCGCGTGCGGGCGCCTGCGCGTCGGGGGCCCGGGGTCGCCGTGCGTGTCCCGCGCCTGCTCCGGCCGCCGGGCGCGTCGCTCCTCCCTGGGGCGGCGGTTCGGGGCGCGGCCGGGGGGACTCGCTGCTGGGGGGTGGCGGGCGCCCTGCGGGGCGGGGGTGCCGGGCGTGCGGCCCCGAGGCCTGCGAGCGAGGATCGCAGAGAGCCCATGGCGTGTTTTAGAACGTGTTTCGTTGCGTGTGCTCACGGAGCACCACCGGCCTGCTCGGTGATACAGATTGTCGGAGCTGCCAGGGGCAGTCTGGCGTCTCCAGGTGCCTGCGCAGCGCCTCCCGGGACAGGCGTTCTGGAATTTTCTGTTGGGTGCGGAGGTTGTGCCCTTGGGAACCGGCCGTACCGTGGGATTTCGGATCCGGATCCGCGCGGAGCTTACGAAGAATGGAGGTGGGGGGCGGCTGCGGAAAGGCGCGGGGAGAGGCCGGCCTCAGGCGGGTCTCCGCGAGGGAGTCCTCCCGTAGCGGGTTTCTTTAAACCGCCTGGGCCTGGCACCTCCCCTGGGAACTCCGTACCTCCAGGGCTGAGAGTCCCCCAGGATGCAGGTCCCCCGTTCGTTTCTTCCCTGGGACTCTTGTATTCCTAGGCATGTGTGTGCCTCGGAAACACGTGACAGATGTGCCTCTAGGCATGTGTGTGTCCCCCACGCACCCCCTCGCCAGGCTTTGCGTACGGTGCAGGGAACGCCTGTGTCCCCAGCCATTTTCTCCCAGGGCTGCCTGTGCCCAAAGGGGATGCGTGTCTTGCCACCCGTGATCCTGTTCCAAGAGGGCAGGGTCTTGTCCCCTTCGGTAGGTCTCGTCGAGGGCAGGCCACTCTTGTCTCAAGCCTTACACTGGAAGACCCACGGTGGCCGGTGTTAGTCTGTCATCGCTCCTAAATGAGACGGTCAGTGACCGTCACCCGTCACCCTCCTCTCTGTCATCACCTCCGTTCCTCCCTGCAGTCACCAGCACCCTTACCAGAAATCATTTCAGTTCCTCTTTGGGGCTTGCAGCAATTACAGACGCCAGTGGCTCTCCCCTCCCGGTTCAGCCCACAGCCTGCAGACGCCTGCCAGGCGCCAGGTGCAGCTAATAGGAAGAAAGCGGGCGGGGTGGCGGGGGGCTTGCTTTCGCGGAACCAGGACTGAATAAATAGACAAGTGGCACTGTGGTGACCTGTGCCTGGGAGCACAGAGGACAGGGCGATCGGGCAGGGCCAGAGGAGGCCTCTGAGGAGGGGACCCTTGAGTGGAGGCCAGAAGGAACCAGAGGAAAAAGCCTTTCACAGAACGGCGAGGAACCGGAGTGTTCTGGGCTACTACGGCTGGTTATAGGTGCCATTTATGCTCGTGGAACCCAAAGTAGCGGACTGGGCGGAAATCCTGCAGGACGGTGCTGCTCCTCCTGGCCTGTGTGATTTGATGTGTGCCTAGAACATCCAGGGCCCGCGTGGTTTAATTCAAATGCACCAGAATTCCAGTGGCGGGAAGCCTCCTGTGCAGAATAGAAGGCGTGGAGGCAGGAGGGGGAGCAAGCTTTGCTGGGGGTGAGCTGGGCGCCCTGCCTCGGCTCTCAGGGTTGGGGTTCCTGTCACCCTAGGGGTCTGCCGTACACACACAGGGCCACAAACGCTCCTTGGATCCAGACACAGGAATTGAGGGACAGACTGGATCGGGAAGGATTTAGTGGCTTCTGTGTGGACTCCTGGGAAGGAGAGGAGCCGGGAACGCTGGGTCATGAGGCTTCAATAATCGAGAGTTGCCAGTATTTCTGCCGGCCCGTTTGCCTCGGCAACGTGCCCTTCCGGCCACTCCAGGGTGGGAGCAGCCCCTGGCCCTGACTTTGGGCCATCAGAGCTGTGCTCGGTGGCCTACCAGGGAGTGCCAGGAAGAAAAGGAACTCGAGAGGTTTTCACAGCCCGGCCCACTGCCCCGCTGGCTGCGTTTCCTCCTTTGTTAGAAAGTTGAGGGTGGGTTCGGGAGAGCAGAGCTGAGCGGGTGTGGCTGCCACGCGTTCCGGAGTTGAGGACTCTAAGGGAGGAGGGGAAAGCTGGGGGAGGGGGCGGGATCATCCGTGAGGTTCCTGATTCGGACAGGGGTGTGACCAGGCGTGGAGGGACTTCAGTGGGGGATGGCCTGCTCCAGAGGACGGGGTTAGGGAATGTGGGGTGCTGGGGTTTGGAGGAAGCCTGCAGGAAGTGTCTGAGAACGGGCTTCAGGACGGCGTGATTAAGGCTGATGTGCTACGGGAGGCGTGTCACGTGGTGGCCCAGGTCAGAAAAGGGAACTGTGACCAATTGTGGGCATTCGGAGAATGGAAAGGGGTGCCGGAAACCCCCAGGGGTCCCACAGAAGCGCTGGTGTTTCAAACCCGCGTTCAGTTTTACAGGGGCTTGGAAGACCCCCCAATTGACACGCAGGGTCCCCCACTGTGACTGTGGGATGAGAGGCCTGTAGGTCCAGTGGGCCAGGACGGGGGTCAGGGACAGCCCAGCTGCTGCAGGAAGTCCTCAGAGGTGGATGGCCAGCCCCGGCCAGCAAGGCCCTGCGTGGAGGGCTCCACACCTTTGCCACGAGAGGCCCGTTCTGCGCTGTGCCAGGCCCCGGACCGCAGGCACCGCTGCCCAGTGGCCAGAATCGTGTTTCTCAGAGAGAGCCAAAGCCACCAGGGCCAGAGCAGCCAGTCTGGAGGCTCTGCTGCTCTTTTCTGAAGAACACATTAAGGAAGTTCCTATCCCCTCATCCCCTTAGAAGTGTAGATACCTGTGGGCCGGGTGTGGCCTGTCATCCTGGCACTTTGGGAGGCCGAGGCGGGTGGATCACCTGAGGTCGGGAGTTCGAGGCCAGCTTGGCCAATGTGGTGAAATCCCGTCTCTACTAAAAATACAAAAATTAGCCAGGCTAGTTAGCTGTGTGCCTGTAATCCCAGCCACTTGGGAAGCTGAGGCAGGAGAATCTTTCAAAACCTGGGAGGTGGAGGCTGCAGTGAGCCAAGATCATACCACTGCACTCCAGCCTGGGCAACAGAGTGAGACTCCGTATGAAAAAACTTATATATACACACACTTATGCATATATACACATATATTTAAATATGTATACACATGTACATTTAGGTACAGTTTTAAAGCAGTTTTAGGTTGACAGTGAAATCTAGCAAAGAATACGAAGTGTTCCCAGCCGTCCCTTCTCCCTCCATCAGTGCCCCAGGCTGTGAGCCACAGCCGCGAGCCAATGTGGGGACATCATCATCCCCCAAGCCCCGAGTTTACATTAGGCGTCACTCCTGCCGTTGGCCGTTCTGTGGGTGTGGCTGGATGTCAAGTGACCTGGATCCACCATTACGTCACCTCCGGAGCGGCGTCACGGCCCCCAGAATCCTCTCTGTGCTGCCTCCACTTCCCCAAAGCCCCGCATCCACGGACCCTTGTTTTTTGTCTTTTCGAGACGGAGCTTTGCTCTGTCACCCAGGCTGGAGGGCAGTGGCACAATCTCGGCTCACTGCCACCTCCGCCTCCCGGTTCCGGGGATTCTCCTGCCTCAGCCTCCCGAGTGGCTGGGACTTCAGGCGTGTGCCACCACGCCCGGGTAATTTTTTTGTATTTTTAGTAGAGACAAGGTTTGACCATGTTTGTTAGAGCTTTTTTCTTTCTATTGTCTCTGTGTTTTGGCTTTTTCTAGAATAAGACATCGTTGTGGTCACACAGCATACAGGAGCATTGTCCTTCTTCCTTTCAGTCACATGCGTCGAAGGCTCCTCCATGTCTTCTCATGGCCTGGCAGCTCCTTCCTTTTCAGCCCTGAATAATATTCCGTTGTCTGGATGCGCCACGGTTTGCTGATTGATCACCTCCCGCGGGACGCCTTGGCTGCCTCCAAGTTTTGGCAGCCGTGAATGGAACTGCGGTGTACGTCTGTGTGCAGGCTTTGGAATTCTGACAGGTGTGTCGTGGTGTCTCATTGCTGTGTCACTTCGCATTTCCCTGATGCCGTATGAAATGGAACGTCTCTTCAGATGCTCGTTTGCCATCTGTGTGTCTTCTTTGGTGAGGTGTCTGTTAAGGGCTTTGGCTTATTTGTATTTTATTTATTTTTATTTTATTTTTGAGACGGGGTCTCACAGTTGCCCAGGCTGGAGTGCGGTGGCCCGATCCTGGCTCACTGCGGCCTCAGCCTCCTGGGGCTCAAGTGATCCTCGCATCTCAGCCTCTGGAGTAGTTGGGACTACAGGCACATACCACCAGGCCCAGCTAATTTTTGTGTTTTTTGTACAGATGGGGTCTTGCTGTGTTGCCCAAAGCTGGTCTCAGACCCCTGGGCTCAGGAAATCCACCTGCCTTGGCCTCCCAAAGTGGGGATTACATGCATGAGCCACGGTGCCCGGCTTTGGGCTGTTTTAAATCCAGTCTGTTTCCTTACTGTTGAGTTGGAAAAGCTCTTCAGATATTTTGGACACAAGTCATGTGTTTCACAAATATTTCCTCCCAGGCAGCAGCTTGTCTTCCCCTTCTCCTGACCCTGATATCTCTTAAGCATTTGATGTAGAAATAGTGATTAATGAGCAAGCTATTGAGACCTCATTAACTAGATCTAAGTAAATCACTAGGCCAGATGCATAATCCCAGCACTTTGGGAGGCTGAGGCAGGCAGATCACTTGAGGTCAGGAGTTCGAGACCAGCCTGGCCAACATAGTGAAACCCTATCTCTACTAAAAACACAAAAAGGAGCCAGGCGTGGTGGTGCATGCCTGTAATCCCAGCTGCTCAGGAGGCTGAGGCAGGAGAGTCACTTGAACACAGGAGGTGGAG